CTTATCCGACACTATTCCGATGATATCCCGGACGTCAACCTGAACGAGATTAGAATGGCTCTCCAGCACCTTAAAAACGGTAAGGCCCCAGGCGAGGATGGAATTACAGCGGAGCTTCTGAAAGCGGGTGGAAAACCGGTACTTGAAGTCCTCCAGAAGGTCTTTAATTCCGTCCGCCATGGTGACATTACACCGGAGGCGTGGAGCAGAAGTGCAGTGGTCTTGTTCTTCAAGAAAGGTGACAACGCTCTTTTGAAGAACTACAGAACGATTTCTCTCCTGAGCTGCGTCTACGTGCTCTTTTCGAGAGTCATTACGAATCGTCTCGCTCGCAAACTTGACGACTTCCAGCCTCCCGAAGAAGCCGGTTTCCGAAAAGGCTTTAGCACCATAGACCACATACATACCCTTCGGGAAATTGCACAGAATTCCCAGGAGTACAATTTGCCACTATGTCTGGCGTATGTGGACTATGAGAAAGCCTTTAATTCCGTCGAAATTTGGGCGGTGCTGCAGTCCCTTCAGCGCTGCCAAGTTGACTGTCGGTATATCGAAGTGCTGAAGTGCTTGTACAGTAGGGTGGTAGATGGCTATCCGAGTACAGAACCAGATTACGAAACCTATCCAATTGTAGAGAGGTGTAAAACAGGGTGATGTTATATCCCCGAAACTCTTCACCGCTGCATTGGAAGACGTTTTCAAGCTTCTGGACTGGAAAGGATACGGTATTAACATCAATGACGAGTACATCACTCACTTTTACGTGGTAGAGCCATGCTGCAGCAATATTAGTAGTATAGTTGTAGCACGAATGGGTCGACTCGACCGGGGAAGGACCAGGCTCTCACAGAAAACCAGCGTAAAATAGCAGCATTAACGCTGCTGTGTTTCGTATGGTGAGTGTAGAGAACCGGAGATTCTTTTTACTGGCAAAGAGGCATTCCATCTTAGTCCTCACGGGCGACAACGCATCTGCATCTTGAGTCTTTATTGAGGATTGATGTAGATGTCTATGGGTCACAGTAACCACTTACCATCAGGTGGACTGTGTGCTCGTTTGTCACCCTATCCTATAAAAAAAAACCTTCGATTTGCCGACGATATAGTCCTTATGGCAGAATCGCTGGAGGACCTAAGCACTATGCTCAATGACCTCAATAGTGTTTCCCAACGGAGGAGTCTTAAGATGAACATGGACAAAACAAAGATCATGTTTAATGTCCATGTCACACCTATGCCGGTAGTTGTTGGAAGCACTAAGCTCGAAGTTGTTGACGTTAACCATTGATAAACTTTTAAACGTGTACTATGCGCTTGTTGAGTCCAAGCTAAGATATAGCATCAAATTCTGGGGCAATAGCTATAAATATAATATGAAAAAAGCATTTACTGCCCAGAGAAAAGAGCTATAAGAGCAATGGTATGCATTCCGCCTTGGGAATCATGTAAAGAATACTTCAAAAAGCTAAAATTTCTTACAGCACCCAGACTGTATGTTTTGATACTACTGACTGATGTTTTTAAAAACAGACATTTTTATGAAAGTGATGAAGAAATGAAAGAGAGAGAAAGCACCAGAAGGATGGACTTGACTTTGCTTATTATGCCTAAACTGGAAATGTAAATGTAAAAACACTGTCCTCGTTATCAGGCTGTTTTACTTTTTAACAAGATGCCTAAAATACTAAAAGAAATAAAAAAGTTAAGTGTTTTAAAACTGAGTTGAAGGCACTACTTATAGAGAAATGTATTTATAGTGTTGTTGAATTTTAACTATAGAGTTAAAATTGACCATATTGCGAATCTCTTCGTTTCGCTTTCGGTCGGCCATGGTAACGCCGCACATTTTACGAAGAGATCGCATCTCCACTGCATTCAACTTACTTTTATACAGACCGACTCGGTCTGTATAAAAGGCACTTGTTTTGGCTCGCCGTTCACCACAGAGTACATTATATATAGGGGATATGCCGCTCACTTAGCGGTTAGCCACCGTAGAGTCTATATCACCTGAGGATGCCTCGTGTAGAGGCGAAACACGTGTCGTATTATCGTCAGTGGTGTGTCTTGCCTAGTGTAGTGGTGTTGGGAGTAGCGGTGCTGGGACTAGTGGTGACGGGGATAGTGCACGCAATTGAGGGAGGGCGAGAGGTGCTCTTCATACTAGGTAAGACACATCATTTTATTTTATAACGCGGATATTTGCGAAGTAAATTTTTCTAAAAGCTTTTATTTTGTTTAACTAAGTTAACTTTTAGCAATATAATAAGGACATTGCTGTAATATTCGTACACAATTTATTGTTAATGAATAAAGATATTGATTGATTGATTGATTGATTGACGAGTATGTTTACCTGGGACAAATAGTCCGACTAGGTAAGTCCAACTTCGACCGAGAGGTCAATCGACAGATTCAACTCGGTTGGGCAGCGTTCAGGAAATTACGGCACATCCTCTCGTCAGGTATACCTCAAAACTTGAAAACAAAACTGTACAATCAGTGCGTGTTGTCACAGTGATGACATATGGAACAGAGACGTGGTCCTTCACTGCTGACTGGATGAGGAAGCTCAAGGTCGGTCAGCGAGCTATGGAGAGGGCTATGCTCGGAGTTTCTCTGCGTGATAAACTAATTAGAAATGAGGATATCCGCAGTAGAACCAGAGTTACCGACATAGCCCAACGGATTAGTAAGCTGAAGTGGCAATGGGCCGGCCATGTAGCTCGAAGAACCGACAACCGATGGGGAAGAAAGGTTCTCGAGTGGCGGCCTCGTACCGGCGGATGAAGTGTAGGGCGTCCCCCCACTAGATGGAGTGATGACCTGGTAAGATATGCAGGAAGTCGATGGATGCAGGTGGCTCAGGACCGTGCTTTGTGGCATTCCTTGCGGGAGGCCTATGTTCAGCAGTGGACTTGTGAAGGGCTGTAAACAGAAACAGAAACTTTTTTATTCAATATAGATTATAAATAATACTTATTGAAAGTCACTCTTTTGTTTGATTACCACTGGTTCGGAAAAAACCTCTAATGTCTGTAATGATGATGAATGTTGAGAGTTTGGTCATTGAAGGAAAAGGAGTAATCTTCCGACGAGCTAGTACATGGACCATGCAGCTATGGCCCCTGGAAGAGCTCGCCATGTTTAAGATGGCGTTAAGTCTCGTGCTGTCCCTTTCACTTTAAGTCAAAGTGACTGTGAGATCCCGAGACTTAATCTTAAAATTGAGTAGCGTTTGAGTATTTGGCCATAAGTCTATTATCCGTATAAGATTCAAAATGTAGATGTATTACCATCCGTGAGGATTACGATGTAATTGGCTTCGGTACAAAGGGTCTTCTATCCTCATCAATCACTATTCGAAAAAAGCAGCTTCACGTAGCTATCTCACGCTGCTATTCTGTACTATGTAGAATGTGTAGAAACATAAAAGATAATTCGTGTTTTTTGATGCAATGTAGCTCCAGTCTAGTAGTCCGTTAGTTGGTCTTTGAATGAATACATTATTATCAGTGAGGGTATTAAATAAATGACTGTTCACAACCCCTTACGGCACTCGATGAAACTGTAGGTAAAAGACAACTGACTCACAGTACTAACATTACAGAAAATAGAAAAGCTTGTAACAGTGGTAGAGCCACGCGGCAGCTTTTGCTGTCTCACGGATGGGCCGGCTCGAACCGGGGTGGTACCACGACCTCACAGAAAACCAGCGTGAAGTAGAGGTTTACCTCTACGTTTCGCTTGGTGAGTGCAGGTGGCCGGAGGCCTTTTTTACTGGAAATGAGGCATTCCATCTTAGTCCTCACGGGTGACAACGCATCTACATTTTGATTTGTAACAGAGGATAGATGTAGATGTCTATGGGCCGCAGCAACCACTTACCATCAGGTGGACTGTGGACTGTGTGCTAGTTTGTCACCCTTATCCTATATAAAAAAAAGCTTGGGCAGTATTCTTCTAGTTTTTATAAATTCTAGTTTTTTTTTAAATTGGGTTGACAATGTAAAAGAGGCTGCCACACAGGTACTTTTACACATTTTCACACGTCATCAGCGTAAAGATCTCCATAATGGAGAATCTTTACGCTGATGATGAACGAGGGGACAAGTTTACAGTCAACAATAAGTATAGAAACGCTTTGAGATTGATCAACGCGTCTCTCCTACCTACGTACATGGCTACAATACGAGTATATAATGCACATAAAGTTTTACCGGCCGGCACTGAGCGAGAAGCTTGCTGTTCTGGCACCGGCGGCGGCACCGGTGGGAGTCATCGCCTTGCCGGCGCCGGCGCCGGTAAGTGGAAACACATTCCATAAATTTCGCGCATTTTTGTATCCTCGGCAGCCGGGCCGTTGCCGGCGCTGGCGCTGTGCCGGTGAATGGAAAACCGCTCATTGGGTATGTTCCGATATACACTGCGAGCACTGCTCAGTGTTCTCACTGGTGAAAAATTTGTTCCGTTATTACTGCCCCTATACTCCCACAGTACCCTAGGAAAATATATGACGTCATAAATCGCCGACATTTTTATACTGTAAACATTGCAATTGCGATTTCGATGTAAGGTGCTCTCAGTACTTTGATCAAAAACATAACAGCGCCTAGAGATTTAACAGCTTCCACGAATGATTATTATTAATTAATACTGTTATTCAAATAAACTCAGATATTAAGTTTTAGAAACGATATTCAAATAATATTTTATCATGTTCAACAGAAAAAATTTCTTGTTGAAAAAACAGTGTCGGAAAGTAGGGATGAATGAATGACATGTTCCGTTTTAAAGATAGCCCCAACACAAGTATTATCAATTACTTACTGGGGATGTCTCATTTATAATCCATGTAACTGTTTTGAGACAAATAAACATTTTCAAAACATTTTTCAAATAGTATATAAAACAAATACCTATAGCAAACTAAAAAGGAACACCTTCACAGTATACTGAATTACGTCAAACCTTACAGTAGTCACAGTGTATATCGGAACATACCCATTATGTCATGATGAGAAGTTTATTTTGCTCATCAACATTATGCTGCTAAATTAAAGAGAACTAAAAGTCGTCGATAAATTCATCTTCTTCAAGATATTATTTTTTGTGGGGTTATATTTCTAAAGACAACTTCTATTTATAGTTTTTGTTTGCTGAATTTTTTGTTAACAAGTAACAACCCAACAACTACAGCTTGTTGACCTTTGGAAACTGAACAATTTCTACAATTTCAACATTGCTGTACATCAATTAAACAATGTAAGTACAGATTTCCGATAGGTATCACGTGACACCGGCAGTCCTAACATAAAAATTGCGTAATTCAGAAGAAATGCAAGTGCAACTTTGTTAGCTGTGTAAACTGTGTTAGAGGCACTTAAATATTCTGCACTTACATCATCGCTTGAATTGAATCTTCTATATTTTGTGCTTCTAATTACAAGACGCTCTATTATTGGTATGTAGTAGTTTTTTTTAGAAAAGATACAAGAGCATAATTATAATAATTTATTATCTACATACGTATTACTTATCAATATGTTAAAAATAATTCACTACCATATCTTTTTGGTGATAAGCTAGGCTATTCTTCAATCATTTTCGAGTCCAAAGGCCGATACAAAAATAAAGCGGAAAGTCACCATATCTGAGTGTTTCCACTATGGATTCTTTACAAGATTTAGTTGAATCTGCTAGGTATGATAAAAACAATTTTCATTTGGTTATAAATTGAAAACTGAAGAATAAATTTTAAAGTTAATTCTGTACTATTAAAATCACTTAGATTATAGACAAAGTACTACTTAGTTTCACTCTACCATCTAAATTCTCTATTGAATAAATGTATATCACTTTTCTCTTTTTATACCTATTTTATACCTTTATTGTTTAAATCTGATATTTAATGTTTTCCACTCTTAATATAAAATTTACATAGACTATTTTTATATTGTATGAATGTAAAAAAATAACATATACTTTTATTTCAAATATACAGATATTAGAAATGAAAACAAATTGTCTCCATTTATGTGAACAAAAAAGTATGTTTTTACAATTTAGAAAAATACTCATACCATTAAAACAAATTTTAATTAAACTGTATTATTTATTTATTTTTGAACATATAACCTTCTTCTTTAATAATAATTACTAAAATATGACTAAGTATATAAGGCTAAATCTAAATTAATAAATTGGTTTAACATTAATAATTTGCATTTAAATAGCATTAATTCATAACTTCAAATGTCAAACATCTAAATACCAATGTAATTTTAAATGGGAATGATGTGAGTCTTGTTGATACCACCGTTTTTCTTGGAATCACTAGACGTGAATCTTCAAAGGGGTCCCTATATATGAAAACTAGCAAGCAGCTGTTAAGCTAGACTAGTCTACTTTAGCTATATCCATAGCATAATGTTGTATGGTATTTTGCTATAGGGGACACAACTGACACTGAAATTATATTTTTTTTAAAGAAGAGGGCCATAAGAGCAATCTATGATTTAAAATCTAAAGTGTCGCTGTGACAAAAATTTAAGGAAATTAATATATTAACTTTGGCCTCACAATACATTTATGAAAATGTAATGCACATACACAAAAATAAAAGTAGTTTTACAAAAATAAGTAATATTCATTCTGTAAATACTAGGAACAGACAAAAGCTAGGAGTACCAATTACTCGACTACACTGCAGTAATTCCAGGGTTGGCTGATTTAAATCAGACTGATTTAAATCACAATTTAAATTGCTTGATTTTGATTTAAAAAATCATTGATTTAAATCAACATGTATAAATTAATGTGATAGGCAGAAAATGAAATAAAACTGGCTTAAAGTAAGCTAAAATATTTTGTTGTTTTATGTTATTCTTATTATTCTACTACAATAGTCTCATAAACTTTGGAAAATCAACAAAGACGTAGCGATGAGGTCTGTCAGTCTCATAAACTTAAAAAAACCAATTTTTTTTAGAAATTTACCCTTAATATATGAACTGTAATTAATACAGTATTAATTATTTTACTCTTAATCAGTCTCATACATATCTATACAAATAAATAAAATTGAAGTGTCTGTTTGTGATGTCAAAATTACGGCTTTTTACTAAATGCATATGAAAGTATATACGATACATATAACAAATACACATTCTTTTAAAAAATTGTCTGTTTGTTCCGCATGATTCTGCATCAGCATGATTTGATTAAAATTAAAAAAATCATGATTTTTTTCCATCCCTGAGTAATTTATTCTTGAGGAGATGTATATGCTTTTACAACAAAACCTCAGAAAATATACAAAATCTAACCTGCTCAAAGTTCAAAAATTTATGTTGAATAAAAGGGTGGTTAAGTTGTAAGACAGTAAATTTACATCTACGTAAACCACTTAATTTACTTGAATCTATTCCGTTTTGTTGTATTTTTTATCACTTCTAGGTTTATTAGTTTTATAAGAATAAGTAACCTTAATTTAGGTTTATGATCGTAAATTCGCTTCAGAAGCTCCAGGAATAAGTAAAAATAAACTGCATATTCTGGAAAGAATCCTGACTGGACATTGTTGTCTAAAAATCACATGTCCATCCTAATCAACTTAAGGTTGTGCCGATTTTGTTTCTAACGGAAGAAACACCTCTGCACATCCTAACTGATTTTGGGCTCTTAATGCGCAAACGTAACACTCATCTGGGAAACTATGTACTTAGCAACTCCTTCAATTCATTGTAGGAGTTACTTGTTGCCTTAGCAGTGATACTGATCTTTCTAAACCTGCATAGCTGCTTGCACAATTAAAAATAAGTAACAAGTGGTAAAATTTAAAATTTTGTACAACTAACTTCAATATAAATTATTAATGATAACTCAAAAACTACTGGTCAGACCTTGATCAAATTTATATGGGAGCACATGACAAGCACCGGCTTTCAAATGAAAAAAGAATCATCGAAATCGGTTCACCGAGAAAAAACTTAGGAGGTAACACACATAAATAAAAACATATAGTCCAATTGAGTACCTCCTCCTTTTTGAAATCGGTTGAAAAAAAAAGAATAAGGTGTCTTTAGAAATGAGGTGAAATACATGCATTCTTGACTGATATTGAAAGTTACTACAATATTTAACTCATTATCATCATTAGCCTTTGGTGAATGTAGGTATTCCCATAGAATCTTTGCTGTGGTTGCCACTCTTGACAGGCAGGTTGGCAAGCGCAGTATTTAATTATTTTTAAGTTGTTACTGTTTCATTTCTATGTCACGTCTTACGACACACTGGATAATATGCAGCAGTGCATTCTCTTACGTATCAATCACATTGCATCATGTGAATATTTTAGTTATAATATAATATTTAACTATCAGTTGTTTATTTTATAGTGATACAATCAAAATGGCAAACTGGCCCGCAATTGGTTCGATAATCCTGCCAAACCTTGGTGGTTGGGCCAACGGGTTATACTACGCTGGACAGGTCCGGAAGGCTGATAAGAAAGTTTGGTATGATGACCTGAAGAAGCCTTCCTGGACTCCACCTAAATGGCTGTTTGGACCTGCTTGGACTGTTTTATACAGTGGGATGGGTTATGCTTCGTATCTGGTGTGGGAAGACTGTGGTGGATTTAATGGTGAGTTTACATAAAGTTTTTTAGGCAGTAAAATTAACAAATTACATTTAATGGTATACATATTGTGACTTTTTTAAAGACATATTATATCTCTTTGATTGCCTCAAATCTCAGGTTAGGCTAAAAAATCTGTTATTTAGTTTTTATGTCAAGAAATTCTCAGTAGCATCCCAGGAAGTTGTTGATGTTTCATTCCTGTGCCTCGAAAAGCATGTAAAGCCGTAGGTTTTCCCCCTGATCTCTCTATAATCGTGTTAGATTGCCATCCCATAGGATTGTGGGATTGAGGAAATAGAGAGCGCAGTTGAGCTTGCGTGTACACTAGGGAACTTTAATCTTGTCCTGCGTTGATGGCTAGTCTCCGTGAGATGGACCGCCGTGACCGTCTGAAGAACATTATTAGACACATCTATTTTAAATAAATATTTAACTCATCTCTTTTTGGATTTCTTAAAAGTCCGTATCTAAAACAGACATTTGCAATTTTTTTTTGAGTCTCATAATGTTGTACCTGTTGATAAGATAATTTACTTTATCCATCATTTGATGATTATCAATTGTGCATGCAACCATATCATTATTTTACATCATTTGAGTGTTTCCTGCAAAAATTGTTTAGCAAGTTGGAAGAAATATCTTATTTCTACATCAGTACACTATCACATGGATTTTTTTAAATACTTTATCAAAATAAATCTATACAAATAAATAAAATTGAAGTGTCTGTTTGTAATGTCAAAATTACAGTTTTTTTACTAAATGCATATGAAAATAAATACGGTACTTATATCTAAAATACAATTTTTAAAATTTTTGTCTGTCTATCTGTTTGTCTGTTTGTTCCGCCTAATCTTCGAAACGGCTGGACCGATTTTGACGGGATTTTCACTGACAGATAACTGATTTCATAAGGAGTAACTTAGGCTACTTTTATTTTAGAAAAAATAATTAGGGTTCCGCGCAAAAACATAAAAACCCTAACAAGCGAGTGAAGTCGTGGGGAATAGCTATAAAATATATACCTATTCAGGTCATAAATTCTGTAACATGTTTAATATAAAATAATTGAAACAAGTTTATTCATTATGTAACCATTTATATACCAAAAAGAAATTAACAAAACATAGATTCTTATGACACTAAAGTTTATTCAAAATGACCTCCTTGATTTTGAATACAGGCCTTCAATCTGCGCGGCCAGTCGTCTATCGCAGCACGAACGAGATCCATGTCAATATCGGCGGCTGCCTTAATCAAGGATGTCTTGAGTGACTCCAAATTGGGATGAGGCTTTGAGCACGCCTTTTCCTCCAAGTGTTGCCATATCTTGTAATCTAACGGATTCAAATCTGGACTGGAGGAGGGCCAGTCTTCGTGCCGGATGAAGTCGATTTCACGCGCCGCCAGCCAGTCTTCTGTGCTCTTCGCTCTATGAGCTGGCGCCGAATCTTGTTGGAATACACAGTGCTTGTTATTTGAACATGGTATGAGAAACAGGTTCCACAAGGTTCGTCAGGACTGTATTTTGATACACAACTGCATTCGTTTTTACACCTTTCTTACAAAAATGTACCTCTGTTAAGCCCCAATAAGAAACTCCCAACCATACCATGAGCGAGGATGGAAAATGACCTCGTTGGACACGCGGAATACGGTTGCTCGCTTCTTCACTATTGTGTGCGTACACCTTATCATTTTGTTTGTTGTAGCTCTCTTCTACGGTAAAAATTTTTTCATCCGAAAAAAAAATTTCCCGATATTTTTTTCCCGCATACCGCTTCAACAAAGCGCGGCATCTCTTCAGTCTCAGGTCCATTAGACGAGCATTCAAACGATGTTCTGTTTTTCTTCGATATGCCCGAAGCCCTAAGTCTTCTAACACCCTTTTCACCGTGGTTCTGCTTAACTCCATCTGAAGGGCCAACAGTTTCTGTTTACGTTTGGGATTTCTTTGAATTCGCGCCTTCACAGCTTTTATCACTGCTGGACTTCTAACAGACCGAGGGCGACCACTTCTTGACCTGTCATCTACACTAGAGTCTTCATTGTATCGTTTGATGGTACGATAAACGAATCTTTTGGTTATATTCAAATTTTTCAGTATGTCAAAAATTTGTTGTTGAATTAGATTCTTCATGGGTTACATTTTTATTTTGATCCTCTATTTCCTGATAATAAGCTAAAATGTTTCAAATAAAGAAACTTTTTGTCCACCGAATGTCGCACGCTTATTTCAATCTGACAAATATTCATGCAGCGGAGAAGGGAGGAAATCCTCACCTTAAGTATTAGTAGAGAATTTGAAAACAACATGCACCACACAACCAGTCTAATTCTTTATCTAAAATATGCTACTATCAGCAAAGTGTAGTGCTGTAAAGTAGTTAACAAAGTATTTTTAGTAGCTATTTAGTTTATGTAAACCGTGATCCGGCTTCTTATCTTGGTGTTTTTTTTTATTGTTTTCTAAGGAAATCCTTTTCAGAACTTTAATTTGAAAAATGAATACTGCCAGAATGTGTATTTTAAAACTGAAATTTCATTTTTATTTACTTTTGACCAACTTAAAAAAGGAGCTACTATATTTTAACCGTGTTTTTGTATGTATATCTGCAATATTCTCAAATACTATTGCATCACTTTTGATGATTGTTTCTCTATCTGTATCTCTCTGTGTTTGATGTAATCTATATAATTTCAGGAAGGTTTAGATTATCACTCTTATATATAAATATATATCCATAAAAGTGCTTATGTCATAATATTTTCATGTGTCACCTCATATCTCTGATATGATATCAATATCTTTTTTATGTATGTTCATCGATTACTCGGAATAGCTATGACCGTCACCCATGCAGTTTCCAACTTGTAATTTACATATCTTTATTTATAAATTTACATATCTTTATATATTGTTTGTCCGCGATGGACTCCTAAACTACTTAACTGATTTCAATGAAATTTTGCACACTGTGTGCATTTTGGTCCAACTTGAGAGATAGGAAGTTTTTATCCTGCTAAATGACCCTCAATATTTATTACGAATTTAAGGATTTTTTATATGAAGGGTCGCCGGAAAGGGCAGAACAACGTCTGCCTAGTATATAAATAAAATTTAAGTGTCTGTCTGTAATATCGAAATAACTGCCTTTTATTGAGCTGTGTGTGTTTGCATAGCGTTAAGACATGACTAATTGATTAACCATTTCTAAAATTTTTGTCTGTATGTCTGTTCGTGCTAATCTTCGGAATGAGATAGAGAGCAGTTGTAGGATTGACTTTATTTTATTCTAAAATTTGGAGTTTTTCTTTTTTTGGGAACTGGAAAATTGATAACACATTAATAAATCCTAATCAAACGAAGTCGGAGCGCGTAATAACTAATAATAATAACATTAGCACCCGCATGAGCTCATCTTGATTATCTAGTAGTAGTAGGTTTCTGCCGCCGTCCATAAACGGCTGCAACACCAGAGAAATTGTAGCAGCACTACCAGTCTTTGAGGAGTTATTGAAGGTCTCCCAAGGCATATGTGCAACATTATAGTACCGCTACCGTTACAGCCTAATAAAGTCCACTACTGAATAGTCCCTCATCATAGATTGCCTCATAGGGATCATATTTGCCATAGTTGCCACAGGCAACCGCAGTTTGTTGTTTTTAGTCGTAATTAGGAAGACGCTTTTTTTTATAGGAGAGAGGGCAAACGAGCATGCGGCTCACCTGATGGTAAGTGACTACCGCCGCCTATGAACAACCGTAACACCAGGGGAATTGCAGATGCGTTGCTGGCCTTTTAAAAAGGAGTAGGCTCTTTTCTTGAAGGTCCCTAAGTCGTATCGGTCCGGAAAAATCGCTGGTGGTAAACTATTCCACAAGGAAGTTGTGCGAGGAAGAAAATATCTTCTAAATCGTACAGTGGTGGACCGCCAATCATCCAGATGGTGTGGATGGTATCGGGAGTTCTGCCGCGATGTGCGTTGGTGAAATTTGGCGGCTGGGATTAATCCGAACAATTCCTCAGAGCACTCCCCATGGTAAATGCGAAAGAAAATGCAAAGAGATGCAACATCTCTTCGCAGTGCCAGTGAGTCGAGCCGATCGGAAAGGACTCGGTCGTCGACGATTCGAGCCGCTCTGCGCTGGATGCGGTCAAGTGGAAGGAGCTGGCATTGGTGAGCCCCAGCCCAGAGATGGGAACAGTATTCCATGTGAGGCCGAACCTGCGCCTTGTAAAGTTGCAGGCGTTGAGCTGGCATGAAATACTGTCCCGCTCTGCTGAGCACGCCAAGCTTTTTAGAGGCCAATTTGGCCTTCTCTTCCAAGTGACCACGAAACTGCACGTCACTCGATATGTCGACGCCGAGGATTCCGATACTGGCTGAGGCAACAAGGGGAGTACCTTGAAACTGAGGAGATACGACAAAGGGGTTCTTTTTAGCAGTAAACGCGCAAACTTGTGTCTTCTGAAGATTAAACTGGACTAGATTTAGTCGCCCCCAATCCGAAACTTTGTCCAGCAAAGACTCGACTTCAGACACAAGTTTGTTCCGGTACTCGGTGACGTTTTCCCGAGAAATATTAGCACGGCCGGTGTATAGAGCATCACCAGTGCTGTCATCCGCATAGCAATGAATGCTACCGGCTTGCAACATATCATTGATATGCAGAAGAAACAGCGTTGGTGATAGCACGCAGCCTTGTGGAACACCAGCGTTAATAGGCTTGTAGTCGGAGCATGCACCGTCTATAACGACCTTTATGCTCCGATCTCCAAGAAAGCTGGTGATCCAACTGCATAATTTCTCAGGAAGCCCATAGGAAGGGAGCTTCGAAAGAAGCGCTTTGTGCCAAACCCGATCGAAGGCCTTCGCAATGTCCAAACTAACGGCCAATGCCTCCCCCTTGGACTCTACTGCCTCCGACCATCTATGAGTTAAGTAGACCAGAAGATCACCAGCTGATCGACCTCGACGAAAACCGTACTGGCGGTCACTAATCAGCTGGTGATCCTCAAGGTACCGCATGAGGTGGCAGTTTATAACGGATTCCATTATTTTGGAGAACAAGGGGGTGATGGCGATAGGCCTGTAGTTGGACGGGTCTGAGCGGTCGCCATTTTTAGGGATCGGGTGGACAAAAGCTGTCTTCCATGATTTCGGGACTACGCCTAGGGAGTAGGAGTAGACTCGTTAGAACCAGTGCCAACTCCGGAGCACACGTCCTCAGCACAATTGGGGGGATTCCGTCAGGCCCACTCGACTTGTGGATGTCAAGGGAGAGGAGTGCTCTGCGAACCGAGCGCTGTGAGAACCGCACATCCGGCATGGAGCACTCACACCACGGGATGGTCGGCGTTTCCCCCGTCATCAACAGTCGAGTTGGACGCAAAAAGGGAGCCTAAAAGGTCGGCTTTCTCTTTTGCGTCGTGGGCCAGTGAGTCGTCCTCCCTGTGCAGAGATGGTAGTGATGGCTTACAGAAATTCCCTTGGACAGCCTTGGTGAGACACCAGAATGCACGGGTTCCCGAAGGAAGGCGAACTAGCTTCTCGCCAATGCTGCCCATCTCCTAATTCGTTTCTCTCTGTCGCCTCTTACGACACCCACGGGATGAATAGAATAGAATAGGATAGAATACAACAATACCCATAGGAAACCCATCAGATATTTGAATCTGTCAAATGACGTCATGCAAATAGTATAAGTCTAATATGACGAACATTGGACGAGTTTCGGTAAAGCGTGGGGGGAAGTCGCATTCCAGCAAGGTTCCTAGAAATTGGGACGGTTTGTATTTCCTTTATATGACTGCTATGTAAGACTGGTGTTATGGTCTTAACCACTGCAGCTGATCATGTTGTCCGGCCTAATAATGTCAGGTTGGGCCAAAAATTACGTCATTGAATTGTTTGCTAAGAAATTCTCAGTAGCGTTGCCTGGTGTCAGAAGCCGTTGTTCCCGTGCTTGATATTTCTACTGTCGTGTCAGATTGCCGTCCCATTAGACCATGGGAGTGAGGGAATAGAGTGCACCTGTGCTTGCGCATGCACTTAGGCACTATAATTCTATGTAAGTCTCCGTTGAGACTAGTCGCCGCCAAATTCGGTCTGGAGGAGACATTATTATTATCTCCTGTACAAAGCACAAGCAACACTGAATACCTACCGATAGGTTAAGAAAAGTGACTGCCTGTTTGCACCACACTTTCATCCCTGTTATATATGTATGGTAATATCTTCTGATAGATTTGGAAGTTGGTGCTCAGGTCATTACGACTATTTATTTATAAACAACTATATCGTTCATTTCCCAGAGTCCTCGGTACTCCCTCTTTCGCTTTACGGAGGTCAACTTTTGCTTAACTGGGCCTGGACTCCAATATTCTTTGGAATGAAGGACTTCAAACTGGTAAGTATTCATTGTTCTTATGACCTTTATTGTTAAAATAATATAACACTTGTATCAACAAAATCTTTTTCTTATTATAGAATAAGGATGATAAACAAGCACAGTCCACCTGAGGTCATCACACTCATCCTCAATTAAGAATCATAATGCAGGTGCTTGTCACCCCTGATTGCTAAGATGGAATACCTCATTTCCAATAATAAGGGTCTCCGGTTCTCTACACTCACCATACGAAACAGCAGCATTAAGCTGCTATTTTACGTTGGTATTTTGTGAGAGCGTGGTCCTTCCCCGGTCAAGCCGACCAATTCCTGCTACAGCCATAATATAGTTGCTGCATGGCTCTCCCAAGTAAACTACGTAGACTATAGATCAAATTCCTTTGTTCACTGCGACCAGGCCTTCATAAACATCTCGGTGTTGAGCGGTATGGCAGTAGCGACAACTATCGCGTTCGTCCACTGCAATAAAACTGCCGCGGCTTTGATGTTGCCGTACCTGGGCTGGTTGGCATACGCCAGCGCCCTCAACTACTACGTATGGAAGAACAACCCCAAGATTGAGGAAATCACGGACGACAAGGACAAGTAGAGGTACGTATGATACTGTGAAATACAGAATTGCATTTAGTTGCTTATAATTTTACTTTTTACTCGAATTATTTCCTACTTCCATAATAGAATATTCTATAATATTTATAAAAGTTAATAGAAGTTATAGGAAATACGAGTCATAGAGTAGAATTAGCTTGTTTATGCCCGATTCTATATTTAGGAACCGTTTCGTTTTCTTCTTCATTCTTTTATTACAAACGAGGTTAATGGTAAACGAGGTGTTGTGTTACAGTGGACTACTGGTCATATTGGCTTAGTTAACAAAGAGGCAGATGAAATAGCAAAAGGAAGCGTCCTCTGACTGTGATTTACTGCGTTGTTTACTTTTTTTTTCTCAGACTTTCTATACAAAGTGAAAGAAAAATGACAATGCAAGCAGACAGGCAATATATTTTTTGATTGTTAACACATTTTTGTTTCATTTGTTTAACTTTTTGTAACATAACGAAGTCAATCACAGCACGGATCGCCTGTAATTATAAGAGCAGCTAATTATGTAAAATTTATAATACTGTAATATAACCATACATTTTTTTTGGAGTTTATGGCCTGGTATCTAGACCTTTAGGCCAAGTCTTGAGTATTTTTATTTGGTTCCCGCCAAAACCCCCAACCATACATTTATTTCTGTTTCTTATGTTGCCAATGCAAATAAATTAAAGGAAAAAAAAACTAAATCTGGCGACGGGTTCTGGCTGCAATCATCAATCCGTTTGTCAAGCGTGGCAAATGAAGGTTAAAGCAAATCCTTCCTAGTATGCGGGTTCCATGTTCAGCGGTGGGTAGTTACGGGCGATTTTTGATATATTTTCATGATTTTGCTTTTAAATGACGATTACGTTATGATGGATGAATTTTCTCACGCCGCCATTTTGAATTCTTTTATTTTTTAAATTTTACAATAATATATTCCTATTTGTTACAGATAACCAAAATTATCCTGAGTAAAATATATTTAATAGGCAGAATATAACTAAATGTTAGTAATAGGCAGAAGTTAGTTCTTGTGCTTTGTATACTGAAGGAGTCAGTGACTTAAATATCATTCAATTTTCTACTATAAGTGCATCACTAATTCATCACAATATCTTATATTATTTTTATACAGCATTGTTGTAATATTTAAATTGTGTAATGAACAATTTTTTCTATAAACTTGTGTATGGCTCTATAGTAAAGATGCCTTTGACTTCCAAATAAAAAGTAATAACTTCTTTTTCTTTTGGTTACATTCATGGTTATAATATGTGAAGCATTTGTGCAAGTCAAATATTTTTATTGTATTTATTAAGTAATTGTTTTAAAGGGTGACTGGGCAATTTTACTAGGTGTAGAAGACTTATCTGAATTGTATAGATTAGGGTAAATTAAAAATTGCATAATATTACTGTCATCACATAAGTTTTAACAGTGAAAAATATTTAAATAATGCAGTATTAGCTTTAAAGTTAACTTTAATAACCTATACATTTTTATGTATTTTAAAATCTTTGAATGACTGCAATTTAAGTGTCCTTGCATAATCTGTGCACAATTAACTGTTAAGCATTCCTTGTTACGCATTTGTTTTCATTTTTGGATGGAGGTTATAATTTAGATGACTTTTGTGTGTGTTTTGTTATCTTTAAGTATGTTTTATTTATGTTTTCTTGTAGATGTTAATAATGAAAATATATCTTCATAATATGTTGTTTCATTTATCTATCCTGTTTTAATCATGACTTGACGTGGTAGAGCCACACTGGAACTATATTATAGCTTAAGCACGAATGTGTCCGCTTGACCAAGCTCACAAAATACCAGCGTGAAACAGAAGAATAAACTTGTGTTTCGTATGGTTTATGTAGAGAATCTGAGGCACTTTACTGGTTACGAGGAATTCTATCTTAGTCCTCGGGTGACAACGCAACTGCTTATTGATTCTTAATCGAGGATAAATGTGGTTGTCTACTGAAAAGTACTAAGATATACGATCTTGCATTAAGAAGTCGGGGTGGCGTGGGGAGTCGGGTATTTAGTTTTCATGGGATGCGACTAACCCTAGTTGCCTGCTGAGTCCACTAATTGTACAACTTTCCATCCATCCCATGATAGCCTATAAAAATTCACTGCTGAACACAGGCTTCCTACATAGATTACCTAAAGAGGGGTTTTGCCATAGTTGCCACGCTTGGCAGGCGGGTTGGCAACCGCAGCTTTTTTTATTAAAAAAAAGAGTTACCCCCACACTAGGACTTTCTCCTGTATCGTGGAGGCAGTTTACAAACACATTGCACAAGGACAAACATCCAGACCCGGAACAATTATTTGTAGGCCATACAAATACTTGTTCCGTGCGGGATTCGAACCTGCGGCCCCCAGCGCAGCAACTCATTGATAAGCCACGGAGCCGTTTTTTATTATTGAGTTATCAGGAAGATACTGCTTACCCATCTGTTTCATTTCGTTCTGTCGCATAAATCTGTGATTAAAACAAAAACTGTTTGACTTTCAATGAGGGCATCGACGACTTTTTCTGCCACCAGGGCGGCGCCACTTAAGAACGAGTTGAAATATTTGACAGTTGTCATAGCGAGGGAAGTTAATTTGTTAGAAAACTGTACGAGGTTGTTTGTGAAATATTAGTTACATTTTATATTCATTAGATAATTAGATTAGAAATGGATAAACCAAACTAACGTATGTTTCTAAAAGTAGAAGAATTAATAAAGTTAAAGATGTGTAGATAATAAAATAATACAGCACTGAGACGTTGTTTTGTGACGTACATACACTAGAAACCGAAAAACTAAAAATTAAATCGCAACTTTTCAATGACAATCTGCGTAACAAATAAGTTCACCTTGGTCCCAACTAGCGACGTCTGGCGAGCGTAAAATTATTAGTCCTCATTGTTTTTATATTCAGTATTTGAGTTAAATATTGTAACAGTTAGTAAAAATAAAAGGCGGTAGAAAACTAAACACGCTAATTTTATTTTATACTCGAATAATAGTCTGAACAAGTTACGTCTTATTATGAGCGTAAGCACCGATACGACTTAGGGACCTTCAAAAAAAGAGCCTACTAGTTTTTAAAAGGCCGGCAACGCATCTGCAATTCCCCTGGTGTTGCAGTTGTTAATGGGCGGAGGTAGTCACTTACCATGTGAGCCGTATGCTCCTATGCCCCCTCTCCTATAAAAGAAAGGTGTCGCAGGCTTCGGAGCGATTGCACAGCGCGTAGCAATGTGGCCTAGCTTGCCACATTTGAAGCATGTTCGCGAATCTGGATATGGGCAATTACGTAATATGTGGCCAGTTTTCTTACAGCGCGGACACGGGTCCATGTCGTGTATTTTTTATCAATTACCTGTAGATTGTTGCTATCTTTATTTTGCATACGTGTTCCAATTGACGTTGACGGCGGTTGATAATCATCCAGCGCACAGAGAAAGCCTTCATATAACTCTTCAGGATGCTCGCACTGATATGCTCTCGTATTTGCTTAAAATGATGACGGTAGACCACGAATGACGCAGGAGACTGTTGCGCTGTTAGACAACTTACATCGGAAGTACACGGCTACTTTGTCTTGGTAGTGTTTCATCATCGATTCCGTTGGTAGTTTCTTTCTGCTCATCATCTCTTCTAACATGTTCCCGAAATCGCGATGTTTAAAAAACACGCATCAGCATCTGCTTCCATTCTTGACAGGAATAATCTTAGGTACTCATCAAGCCATTGGTACCATCGTCTTGCTTGATCTATGCTGCAGGTAAAACGACCTTGTAGTTTCGCTCTAGCTGTGAATTTCGCCAAGTTGATCTATTTTTTTAAGTCACGCTGTTGCTATACTACATTCCTCACTATCGGGGTCGAACTCTGGAATAAGTGAGGCTGCACGGTGTTCTTTTCTTGTGGTTACGGATGGTAACTCTTCGTTTAACTCTTGGATTGATTTTGTACTACAGTTTCCAATAGTCTTCTAAGCATTTTCCGGGCCGGAGAAGTATCTGGTGGTGTGCCTCGTCTTCATTGTCGCTTTATCGGATGAATCTTTACATGGTGATTCGCTTCATTCTTGGCGGTGGACTTTATGGCCTTTTCTTGGCATTTCCACTTGATGACGCTTCATAGTTTTTACTTCTAATCCCACTTCTGTGATGTAACAGTTAGTAAAAATAAAAGAAGGTAGAAAACTAAATACACTAAATTTATTTTATACTCGAATAATAGTTTGAACAGAGTTTCGTGTTATTAGCAGCGGTAGTGTAAGCACAGAATACAATAATTTAAAATGAAAAATTTTGTATAACCGACTTCAGTATATATTATTAAAGATAACTCAAAAACTATTGGTCAGAACTTGATCAAAATTTATATGGGACTAATGTCGAGGTATACCCTATCCAATTAAAAAAATATTATAATCATATTCGGATTATTCTGTAAAAAGTTTGCGTGGTCATACATAAAAAAAATATACGCGTCGAATTGAGTACTTCCTCCTTTATGAAGTGGGTTAAAATGAGCACCAACCCCCACCAGAGGCATCCGGTGGTTAGAGTGGTGGCTTTGGCTTGGCTTGGCTAGGATTGGCTGGCATGAATGGTGTGCTGTGATTGGTTGTGGTCGTGTGATGCAACAATATAAACATTTTTAAGAACGTTGGACGTAGTAGAGCCACGCTGCAGATATAATATGGCTATAGCACGAATGGGTCAGCTCGATCGGGGTAGCAGCGTAAAATAGCAACTCGATGGTCAACGATTCTCTACATCTAAACTCACCATACGAAACACGTATGGTAAGTGTAGAGAATCGTAGATCCTTTTTACTGAAAACAAGGTATTTCATCTTAGTCCTCAAGGGTGACAACGCAACTGCTCATTGTTTCAGGTTGTGTGTGCTGTGTGCTCGTTTGTCACCCTTTTCTATATAAAAAAAACTATCCAAACAAAGAAAACATATTATAGAAAACATATTAGTGTGGGAAAAATACCCAAACAAACTTGTTTGTTACCCTTATTCTATAATTAGAGGTGTATCTAGGGTGGTGCAAGTAGGGCACGTGCCCCGGACGCCTTTCAAAAGGGGGGCGCACGAAATCGCTAATTATGAAATTTAAAAATCAAAATAAACCAATTCCTATCAAACAATTCCGTCCAAAATTCATAAGCTTCGTGGTTGATCGAAAAGGAATGAGTGATGCGTGCTATGTGGCGGAGACAAAAACTCTTTTAAAAATAAATTTATTTAATACTTTCAAACTAACTTAAAATATAGAAGTTGATACACAGAACTTGGTAATGGAATTGTGTTGAGGGATTGAAAGATTTGGTTTAAATAGTGTAGGAAGCTAGGGGGTGGGGGTAAAGATAAGGCAATAACATTGTTCTTGGTGTTATCGTTAACTTATTAACTTCCTTCTGCGTAGCATTGAAAGGAAGTTAATGGTTTTAGCTGGCAGTCTGTTAGTCTGTATGCCGACACGATAACTTCCGTTCCACTGGACCGATTGACTTTAAATTTGGTATGTGGATACCTTGAGGTAGTAGCTCGGTTGAGTTTGAATTTGGGTCCTGTAGGTCAAAGGGCACCACAGATATGGGATTCACGCAGAAGGAAGTTGTTTTTCTTGAATTTACATTCAACTCGTTCTAAGATACAATTAGGAATGGTAAACTATAAACATTAGCATATAATATTACAATCTTATTAGTTTGGCTTCTAAGAAAGTAAACAATATGATTTAGATTTTAAGTAAATAAACAATATAAAGTATATATACATCACATAACATAATAAAATTTAAATAGTATCTATGACAAAACATCTCCCCCCTTAGAACAAAGATTGAGCGGTTTTGCTCGATTTTTGAGTGTAGTCAGCAGCTTCGTCTTCGTCTTCTGATATACAGGATGTTGTAGCAGTGGTGTATAGTGATGATATGGGAATCTCGAGGTGTTGTGTTGAGAACCGTTAAAAGCAATTATTAAAAATTTATATACAGTTACCATGTGGATTTATAGGCATGTTATACCATGGCAAGCTTTTATAACATTTATAACAAAAATATGTTAGCATAATGATGCCAGTAATCGTACTTAATATGGAAAATTTTGTTCCATGTAGTGTAGTATGGTAGATGTAGTTTTATTATCTTCAAGTAATTTTGTGTAAGTTTTTATTTGTTCTCTGAGTTAAGAGAGTCGAGTTGAATGTTGTTGAGCTGGATTGGTGCAAGTTCTGGTTGTTGCAGCTTAATTTCAACTGGGGTGGAAATGTGTTCAATATCCACATAGATAAAAGGATGGCTGATGTTGATCGATTTTGTGTCCTCAGCTAGGAGTGTAACAAACGCGGTGTACATTTTATATCCTTGTTCTAGAGTGATGATACCTGCTCCAGAGATTTCGCCGTGAGCCGTTTTGCTTTCGCATTCTAAAGCATACGGAGTCTTGCGTTGGAGTATGAAGATCCAGTTGTTGTTTCTAAGAGCTTGGAAAGTATTGATATGTGCAGAAAACGTAGTTACCAACTTCAGGAACTTATTGACTCGTCGTTGTTAAGATGACAACTTAGGATGTGGGTCTGGTGTTGATGTTGTAGATGAGAAGATCCTTGCAGACTTTGGTTTCCGTTGCAAAGTCTTTGCATTTGTCAAGTGAGCTCATGATGACGTGTTGCTGTCTAGTGGTA